TTATTTTACTATTATTGGCCAGGGTTTCATTGAAATTAATTTAACTTTTATATTTGTTGAATTGTCCTGCAGCAAGTTGTCTCACGGCACGTTGACCATGGCAAGTTGGCCACGGTGAATTGTCCCATTCCAACCTTTAAGATATTAACATACACTCTACTACTATTGAAATAATGTGCATCCCTCACCAATTTTGACACTGATGTCATTTAGGCATGCTGTTAGTACATTGACTCAAAAAGAAGGTTAGGCATTTATAGGATTTAAAAATATGTTTCCAGCACCAGCTTAAACTTCTATGGTTTATATAAGGGATTGATCTTTCATGTGTTATCTCAAAAATAATTCCTGATAAATGCAGCATAATGAAAAATGTAATACATTGTTAATGGGCAGATTGTTGCATGAGATAGGAATTGTCTCAATAGGCTAAATCAATGAAGAGATTTTACTCTCGCTACCATTTTTCATCTTTAATCATTGAATCTTTGATATAAATTCACAGCTCCATCCAAATCCAAATAGCAAGTAAGTCAAATGAATAGAATAGAATAGAATAGAATAGAATAGAATAGAATAGAATAGAATAGAATTCTTTATTGGCCAAGTGTGATTGGAAACACAAGGAATTTGTCTTGGTGCAAATGCTCTCAGTGCACATAAAAGAAAAGATACAAGAAGAGTCAAGAATCATAAAGTACATATATTTTTATATGACCCCAAATCCTAAAATACAAAAGCATATAAAGACTTCGTAATTATTCTAAGACTGAAGTTTGTTTCATTTATTTATTTAAAACATTTTAATAGCTCTGCATCAGATGCCAAACTATAGACAGCTTACAGTCAAAAGATAAACATCTATGTACCATAAAAATATTAAAACCACAAGTATTAAGACCAAAACAAACAAAATAAAAACTGGCACCATAATTAAACTTTCACATGCATCCCACAGCAAGTTCATGTCATAAATCTCATCTTATCCCTGCACTTAGTGCGGGGGGAAGGAGGAGCCAGTTTTTAAGTGGTTTTTGGAAGGATGAAAGAGTAGGACACTGCCAATCTTCAGGGGAAGCATGTTTCATAGGGCAGGAGCTGCCATGGAAAAGGCACACTTCTTAGATCCCATAAGATGGCAACTTTTAAAGGAGGGGATTAAGAACATGCCTACCTTATTCAATATGGCAAGGCAGGCATATATTCTTAGGAGGAGGCAGTCCCACACATAAGCAGGCCCTATGCCATGCAAGGATTTAAAAGTAATTACCAGCAGCTTTAATTGCACCCAAAAGGAAACTGGGAGTTGATGCAACTTACACCACAGGCGTATAATATTTTAAATCTAGAAATGCTCATCGCTACATGCAATGTCACATTCTACAGCAGTTGTAGCTTCCAAGTGGTCTTCAAGGGTAGCCCTATGTACACACATTGCAGTAATCCAAACAGGAAGCAACCAACTGTTGTCTAATACTGCTGAGTCTAAGAATGGCCTCCTGCAAGGCATTAGCCACCACTTGTATCCAAGCACATGCTACCTCCTTGCAAGCCTTGAGCAACCAGGAGGGATATGTGTCCAGAACACAGTAGACAAACTCACAGCACAAGGATCTCAGGATCAACCAGTTCAAACTCCTCACAGATAACAATTACTTTCGAAGAGTCTGTCTAGCCAGAGTTGAACTTCAACTGAAGTCAGTTAACTTTATCTGATAGATGCTGAGAATATTCTTCACATTACCCAGGAGGGACCTGGTCCCCTGAAATAGAGTTGTGGGGTGACTGCCTGCCAATGTAATAAGGTTGAAAAATTAAATACATTTTATCGCCCTTTTTGCCAACAGCTAAGTCCAAAAATTGCTTGACCTTTGCTCAGTCAACCTTCCTCTTTACTTGCTTCATCTGCTGATCAATGCTTGTATCTTCTGAATACATTCAAATAAATGTCATTCTATTTATCAATAGTAAAAGAAGGTCTTGAAAACAGGGAAGGGAAAGTCAGCAATTTTCACTTTTTAAATCTCACTAGCACAACAAAATGCAATTTTAAAGCAGCCTCCTCAATCTGTACCTTCTAAATACAGAAGTTAATGCATCCCCAGCAATCATCCATAACTGACTCTGATAACTGCAAACAATGTATATTGGTCAATGAAATACTGAACATTCCAAGATGCCATTTTATGATAATCTATGTTTGAATAATGGATTCATGTTATTTTTTACCTTTAAATAAGCTCAGTGAATACCAAGGACCCTTCACTAAATATTTTATTTCACCCAGCATAGGACAGTTTGCTGCATTCTAGTTTATCAGCAGTACATTCAATTTGCCTATATTCACATGACATTTATGTACAGTAGATTGAGCAAGATCAATATATATATATATATATATATACATACATACATACATATACATATACATATACATATACACACACATACATACATACATACATACATACATACATACATATACTGTATGTATAACTTTAATGCATTCTAATATGTGACTGTGGTTGAAAAGTAGCACTAGCAATAGCTATAGCACTTAGACTTATAGACCCTTTTACAGTGCTTTACAGCCTTTCTAATCAGTTTACAGAATCAGCATATTGCCCTCAACAATTTGGATCATTGTTTTACTAACCTTGGAAGGATGGAAGGTTGAGTCAACCATGAGCTGGTCAGAGTTGAACTCCTGGTAGTAAGTAGTGAGTTAGCCTGCAATACTGCATTCTAACCACTGCACCATGAGGGCTCTTATCTGCAATCTGCAATTAATGCATAATGCAGCATCCACACTCCTTTAAGCTTTTGCTGACTGCATTATACCAATCATGGACAAGCTATATAGTTCATGGCTCTCCATTTAGCCCTAAACTGGTTATCCATGAAAGACCATTCTAGTCCAACAGATCTAGAAGCTGCCATGGTAAACAGTTCAAGGTCAGAAAATGTAGGGGATGACCTTCTCTTATATTAATTGGCATGTTGTACAATATGTGTTTTTAAATTTTGTGTTATATGAGGGTGTTCATCTCATCAAGACAGAAAGCAACACTTTGGAAACATAATAGGGTTTTTTCTATAACACCACCATAATTTAGATTAGCTCTGTCCTTGCTTTGGTAAATATTTTTTATTATGCATTCCTATCATCTGAAAGTTTTCCAAATATACTTTCTTTTTCTTAGCTTTGATTTATTTATTTTTTTGAATAATCATGAAATGTATTTGTGATATACTGGAACATACACCTGCACCGGATCACCCTACAGAGTCCAAAAAGGAGGATGCCAAGAAATCATTGCCATTTCTGTGTCATTTTGCTCAATTGAAAGCTATGAGTGGGGAAAGATATCTAATCCTTTGCCATCTTGATACATATGATTGTTTAAATTTATTTAAATTTATTTTAGTTTTTTTATCTCATCTTTATTACTTTTATAACTCAACGCAGCAAACATACCTAATACTTCTTCCTCCTCCTACTTTTTCCACAAGAATAACCCTGTGATATAAGTTGGGCTAAGAGACAGTGACTGGCCCAAGATCAGCAGCTGATTTCATGGGTAAGATGTGACTAGAACTCACAGTCCCCTGGTTTCTATCTTGGTGCCTTAATTATTAGACCAAACTGGTTCTCTTCAACCAAACTGACTTTCCCATATTGCCACTGATTCTCCCCAATCAATATTCATTCTTTCATTGAGAATTAAAAAATATTATAACATTTAAAATTACAATCTCAAATATTCCTTCCAAGGCATGGTTTCATGCTTCAATTACTACAATATCTATTATTTTCCCATTCCTTTATATGTCAACATGTATTTAAATATTTCCTATCCTGTCTCTACCTACATTCAGAACTGCTAAAAATCTTTTTTTGAAAATATACCTCACCCAAATCCCTATCCTTCCTTAAAGTATAGAACTTGCCGTCTATAAATTCAGTAGAAGATTCATAGTTTTGCTATGACATTATTTAAAACAAGGATACACAGAACAGATGCTCATCAAAATGTGCGCTACTGTACGTCAACAATACATGTTTCTCAGTATGTCTGTATGCACATTAATTTCATTTCATTTTGGCATATTTGTGAACTAAAACAATCAAACAAACCCATTTTATGTTTCTATAGTTTGTAAAAGGGGTCCACATGTTATTCTTTTTTAAAGAACCTACATATCTATTGATTTTATCTTCTTTTACTCAAACTGAATGTCATTTCTGCAAAAGAAAGAAGCCTTTACTATGTAACATATGTAGAAATTGGCAAAGCTGCAATAAAAGATGAAAATAAATTAAAGAAATGCAATTGGTAACATTGGTACAGATAGCACTAACTTTGTTGCTGCAAACAAAAATTAAAATAATCAAGAAAATAGCTAGAGAACACCTGTCTGATCTTGAAGAATATAAATCACCAGGATCTGATGGATTACAACCCAGAGTTCTGAAGGAACTAGCAGATATTATCTAAAATCATTGTACCATATATTTCAAAAATCCTGGAACCACAGGGAATTATCTGAGGATTGGAAAAGAGCTGATGTTGTCCCCATCATCAAAAAAGAGAGAAGAACAGACCCAGAAAACTACAGACAAATCAACCTAACATCAACACCTTGGAAGATACTGGAAAATATAATCAAAACCAGATCTATGAATATCTAGAAACAAATAAAGTTATAACTAGTAGCCAGTATGGGTTTGTTAAAAACAAATCATGCCAAACCAATCTTATTTCATTCTTCGGCAAAGTGACTAAATTAGTAGACCATGAAATTCCGTGGATATAGTATATTTAGAGTTCAGCAAGGCATTTGGCAAAGTAGATCACAACCTATTTCTTGGTAAGCTAGAAAAAAGTGTGATAGATAGCATCACCACCAGATGAATTTGTAACTGGCTAACAAACCATATTTAATGAGTAGTCCTTAGTGGCACGACATTTACATGGAGGGAAGTAAGTAGTGGGGTACACAAGGTTCCATCTTAGGCCCAGTACTCTTCAATATCTTCATAAATTACTTAGTTGAGGGAATAGAAGGGGAACTCATTACATTTGCAGATGACACTAAGCTGGCAGGAAGAGCCAACACCCTAGAAGAAAGCTCAGGATTCAAAAAGAGTAAGTACAGATTAGGCAAATCCTGGCTCAAAAACAATAACTGTGAGAGGGATTTTGGAGTCCTAGTGGAGGATACTGGGTCAGCAGTGTGTGGCAGAAGCCAAAAAAACTAATACAATCCTTAGTTCTATAAACAGAGGCATAGAATCAAAATCACATGAAGTATTAGTACCACTTTATAAAGCCTTAGTAAAACACCTGGAATACTGCATCCAGTTTTTGTCACCACATTACAAAAAATATGTTGAGACTTTGGAAAAAGTTCAAAGAAGAGCAACTAAGATGATTAAAGGTCTGGAGAATAAAACATATGAAGAATGGTTACAGGATTTGGGTTTAGCTAGTCTAGAAAAAAGAAGGACTAGGGGGGACATGGCAGCAGTATTTGAGAATTTGAGAGGCTGCCACAAAGAGGAGGGGGGTCAATTTATTTTCCAAAGGACCACAATGGGTGGAAAGTAATCAAGGAGAGAAGCAACTTGGAATTAAGGTGAAACTTCTTATAAGTGAGGACAATTAACCAGTGGAATAGCTTGCCTTCAGAAATTGTGGATGATTTATCACTGGGTTTGTTTTTGTTTTTTTAAGAAGAGATTGGACAGTCACTTATCTGAAATGGTATAGGGTTTCTCGGTTGAACAGAATAAACTGTTGGAAGGAACCTTGGACTAGAAGATCTCAAAGATTCCTTCCAGCTCTATTCAGATTGATTTTATTAGCTTATTACATGAAAAATCTGACATTACATGAGCCCTGATTCAATACATTTTGTTATTTATCTCTTTTACAAATTCAGAATAGGAATTCATGTTATACAAACCTAGACTAGAAATAGCATAGAACCACACAAAGTCTCTGGGATTTGGCAGTATATGAATGATAATAATTGTGTTTGTTGTTAACACATTTTCCCCTAGGGACACAAACTTTTCAAAATTGGATGTGGAAATGTCCACTCAAATTCATTAGTGAATTGTTCTAATTCATTTCAGCGTAGCAACCATTCTAATTTTTCTCTTCTCCAGAAGTACTGTAGTAAATTGATCTATATTGACTAGTATGATTTGATTGCTTATTGTACCCTATGACTATTACTAAGTGTTGTACTTTATGGTTCTTGACTCTTCATGAATGTATCTTTTCTTTTATGTATACTGAGAGCATTTGCACCAAGACAAATTCCTTGTGTGTCCAATCACATTTGGCCAACAAAAAAATTCTATTCTATTCTAAGTACTGTAGTAGATAAAAAATTTCAGTGGAGCTATCATAAAATGTCACATGGCCATAGGATACTGCAAATGACCGAAAATGTGGTCCAACTGCCAAGCACCTGAAGTGCAGTAATGTACCTGTGAAGGAAGGTACATTAAACTGCAAGCCTATATAAGTACCCCCAGGTAGATCCATCAAAACTTCAAACAGTTGCTAAGTGACTGCTCCTAACTCAAAGACTATCTGTAATTGCATAATTCACGACTACCTTTGGTTTAGTAAAACTGTTCCCATCTAGTAGAAAATAGAGGTCCAAGCTATGCATTAGGCAAGACACTGAGGAGCATTTTAATGGCTATTTTAACTGAAAACATCAACAGTAAGCTCAACCCTTTGAGATACTCTAGCCATTGTGTTCCACCAAATTGTTTAAGTGAATGTGCAGTGGATTGGTAGATAATCCCAACAAACATTGATCCCAATACCAGGATCACCTAGGAAATTTAATTTGGGATTATGTAATTGAATAAAATTCTCTAAAGCAGTTCAGCATGTTAAAAAAAAGTGGGGAATTCCAAAACACTGAGGAATACAGGACAAAATTAAATTGCACAATTTACATGCTTATGTCATGATACTAGATAAGAGTATAGAAGTCAAAGCATTTGCTTGATTCTATTTTATCGTTATCATATTATCATTTCACCCACACACACTTGTCTTCAACCCTGAAGCTGGCCTGACTGAGGCCATTTTGAGTTCAGCACTGACACACTGGAGAAGAGGAACAGGGAGCGGGGAATAGAGATGGTTTGGGTGTTGTAGACAAAACAAAATACATCCTCTTGGGAACCAAGGACATTCCTGCAGGTGCTTAGAAGGAGGGGACTGGAGGCACCTAGCAACTGGACAGTTTCCTGATTGGACCATGTGACTGATCGTTTTGAGAAAGTGAAAGACTTTTACTTTTAACCAGGTGAAAACCGCAGGAATACTCAGAGCCGATTTTCACCAGCCTGTGCCAATATGACATACCCAATAAACTTATTATTTGAAGAATCTACCTGCCTCAGAGTTTTGTTTGCTACAGGTATGTTACTTGGAACCCTGACATTGTCCCTCAATTAGATGCCCATAGAACAGGGGTGGGCAAACTACGGCCCATGGGCCACATCCGGCCCATTGGTCTTTTTAATTTGGCCCGCCGAAGATTGGGGTGCCCGGTTGGAGCACCCAAGTGGGAGCCGGGAAACAACAGATCCAGGCCGGACAATGGCTTGGCGGCTGCGCAGGGCAGCCAACAGCAGAGGAGAATGGAGGACAGTCCACCTGCCGGCCGAAGGGAGAGAGACTCGGCAGTTGCCCTTCAAGGAGCCGGTGCGCGCCCAAGGCGATGGGGGAACCCCACTAGCAACCTCAGAGCAGCAGGCAGGCACAGGTGACTACGGGCAGGGATGGACTGATGGACGGACAGGGTGGCAGGCTTGGGAGCCTTGCAGGGTCTGCCTGCCTTGCTGGCTGTATGCCTTCCACGCTGGCAAAGGGAGAGTTTGGGGCGTCTAGGCATGGATGCGCGCCGCCTCTCCATCCCTGGAGAGCATCGAGCCCGGGGCGGGGGCGGCGGCTTCAGAGCTTGCCGGGCAGATTTCTCCCATATTCAGGACCGGTGCGGTGGTATTTGACATCTGGGGCTCGCGTGTGTGTTTTGGGTCTCCCCCTTTTTGCAAGGGGAGGTGTGTTACTCAGTTCTCCTGGGCTGACGACCGACCTCTTGCCTTTATTTATGCCAAAGGGAGTGGGAGGTTGGGGGGTGGGGAATGGTCTTGCCGTGGCTGGTGGGGAGTGTGTTTGCAGGGCTGCTCAGGAGGAGATCTGGGGGTCCTCGGTTCCCCAAAGTACCCTAGTTATTTCTCATGTACATGTTTGTGTGTGTGTAGTGACAGCTCCAATGATGTCATATGCCGCTACAACCTTCGTTCTCCGCATGTTCGTTTTGTCCCTTCTGTAAAGAATCTTTCGCTGTCAGTCCAGACCGTTGGAGAGAATTGCACTCAGATTTCCACAATTCCCACCCTTCATGGACTGGGCTCCATTTCCAGCCACGAACAGTTTTGCGAGAGCGTCTGCTTGACCATGCTAACCATGAAAACACACGGGGTTTACGCCAGGAGTGCTTACTCGGGAGAAAACCTCTCTTGATCGCTGTTCAAGGTAGGGTCTGACTGACAGGGGGTGGATTTTGCGGTTTCTGCATTGACACCCCCCACCCGAGCCTTTTCAAAGCATCTCAACTACAGTGCCCATGATCACCAGCAAGAAGAGTTTGGGATAATGGGATAAAGTTAGGCACGCTTGCAAAGTACCCTAGAGCAAAGACTTGCTTGACATTCTTATAGGACCTATAAGAAAAAAGGACCTTTTTTCTGTTTATGTTTGATATGTACTGTTAACAAATGCAGTTTTTTTATATGTATCGTATCCTGTGCTGACCCGGTCCGTCTGTCAAATTTTAAAAGTCAATGAGGCCCCCAAGCCAAAAAGTTTGCCCACCCCTGCCATAGAAGAACAACACTTCTTTGCTGAAGGAAATCCCAACTTTAATTGCATTAAATCTATCAAAGTTAGTGAAGAGAATTCAGAGTTAAGGCAAGGCTGTAAAGGATATCACAGCATATCCACATTTCTAGTAGCATTTTTATACAAATAAAGCAAGTCAAATGTGAACAACTGAGCATGTGAATAAAAAGATCTCTGCCCTGATGCTTGGGGAATTATATTGCTGAGTTGTAACTTGTCTCTCACTATGAAATATATTTTTTTTATGGTTGCGATTCACAAGCCACATGGAACAAGAAAAAAATTAAAGAACTTTTAATCAGATAAAACTGTGCTACTATATTATGTCTTGTAAAGTACACGCATCAAATGACAATACATGCTGTAACTATAATAATTAAGCTGAATAAAATGTTTATTGAACACAGTTGAACTGCATTCCTTTTGATGAGCTTCATGTTGAATTCATAAAAAGCCTGCTAACAATTTGAGTTTAGCAATTTAATGCTGCTTCTATAGTTTTTGTAAATGCTTTAAATTGTCTTGCTGCTTTTATCTTTTTATCTAATCTTTTATAAATTTTAAAAGCACTCTAACTCTAAGATAGTGAAAAAACTGGGTGTGCCTAAGGTTTCATTTAGAAATATAGGTCACAAGCATTAAAATTCTTATTGCAGTTTAGAACTACCCCCTCCTCCACACATTCAAATTAGCAACAAGGCACAAAAGTGTCCTGCATTTCTTTCTAACCATACAGTACACACTGAATCTGATGGAAGAAACTTTTGCTTTCAAATTCTTATGCTTATCTTAGATAAGCTTAGTTAGCTTGTCTAATTAGTTGCAAGGCAGGAGGGGAGCATGATTATCCTGTCTTTCACTACATAATCATTTTTCCAATAATCTTCAAACTTCAATCTGGGTTTTAAGTACCCTCAGGTTCGCATGCTTCCATGAAACCACAAAGTAAGGTTTCCTAGAGAAGCTCCTGATAAATCTTCAGATGAGAAGAACATGGAAAGCCAATAAGACTTCAAAAGTGTGGAAAGATAAGAAACAAACAAAAGTAATAGTAGTTCCCTCTATGAAGTGCAATAGTAAGTGAAGAACTTCTGAAGAAGTTCAAAATAATTTCTCAACCATACAAAGAATAACACAAGAACACAGAATCCCCTTTCAAAGAGAAGAACCAAGCATTGGTTCAGCATTGGTTTACAGAGAATAGATTTACTCAAAGAATCACAAAAATGGTCTGTTAATTCAGTGTTCTATATCAATTTTAATGAGTTTATAATCTGTATGGTTATTCAAGGTAGCTGCTGTTATCTCTATATTACAGGTTGAGTGTACTGATATAATTTTTTTTCAGAAAGCACTCAACATTCAGAGCAGCAACAGTTTTCTCCTAATTTTATTTTATTACTATTCATACATTAAATATATAATTAGTTTAAACACATAAATATATAATATTTAAATATATGTCATTTAAAAGATAAAATAATACAAGTATGCAATCATACAGAAAATAGAAATGAATTAGACAAAATAAAATATTAGTATCTGAATAAATTAAATATTCAATCATTTATATACATTTCAGCAAAGGGAGAATGTTAAGTTTGAGCAATGAGAGGCTGAACCAGAGCATGAGTGCAACAGTACTTTATTTTACAAATAAAGGGCTGACTGTGCTTGCCAAGCCTGGAACTGGCTCGCAGCAATCAGCAGCCAGTTGGACCCCGCAGCCTGCTTTTATAGCTGGCTGCTGGGGAGAACCGACCAATGGGAATGGGGGAATAACGCCCACACAAAGTGAGTGGACCTGAGTGAGAACTCCTTGAGTCCTCAGGACATAACACCCCTTCCCCCCAGATGCGAACACGCATAGTCCTTGAGGTAGATGGGGGGTTTGTGTTGGCGCCCGGAGCGGCGCAACTCGGGAACATTGTCTGACTGTTCGGTATCAGTCTGTGACGGTTGAGCTGGCATAGTGTCGCCAACACTCTCTCTGGACTGGGCATCCTCGGAAACCACCGGGTTGGTTTCTGGAGTCAAACTCTCGTGGGTTGGATCCGGTTGGTCAACTCTCTGGGCGCTGTTGTCCGAGTTTGGGCTGACCGGAACGACCGCTGGCGCAGACTGGTCACTGGGTGCGGTGTGGCTGGGTGGCGGATGAGGCGGTTCCCCTTCGACTGGAGACTCTGGATTCTTGTTTGCGAGGTTGCTGAGGCGCCTTCTGAGTTGGTCTATGTGTCTCCTCCAGACGCGACCATCCTCCAGCCTGACTCTATACGATCTCGGCCCGGTGACGGCGATGACCTCGCCCGGAATCCAAAGTGGGTCCCCAGCGAAATTCCTTGCGAATATCGGCTCCTGTAACATAAAATGTCTAACCCCCGAAGTGGAAGCGAGGGGAGAGTCAAGGCAGTATTGTGGGTGCAGTCTATCTAATACAGTCCTCAGGCGCCGGCCCATCAGAAGTTCCGCTGGGGACTTATTGGTGACTGCACAGGGGGTTGAGTGCTGGCTCATCAGGAACCGTGAGAGTTTGTGGTGCCAGTCATCTCTGCCAAACCTAGCGAGGGCCTCTTTGGTGGTCCTGACGGCCCTTTCAGCCAACCCATTACTCGCAGGGTGAAATGGGGCTGTGAAGATGTGGCGAATGCCTAGGTTGGCTGCAAAACGGCTGAATTCTACTGATGCGAACTGTGGGCCATTATCGGAGACCAAGGAGTCGGGTAGTCCATGTGTAACGAACAGGCGCGTTAACACGTTGGTGATTGCTAGTGTGGTGGTCGTGGATAGCTGCGCCACGTCTATCCACTTGGAATAAGCGTCCACGACCACTAGGAACATCTTTCCATGCACGGGGCCGGCCAGATCGATATGGATTCTAGACCAAGGGGCGCTGGCGCTCTCCCATCTGGTAGGGGTGGCGATGGGGGGAGCAGGACGGGATTCCTGGCAAATGCTGCAGGAACTTACCCAATTGACAATGTCCTCGTCTAGACCCGGCCACCACACGTAGCTGCGTGCCAACGCCTTCATTCTCACAATGCCGGGGTGTCCCTCGTGCAACGCTTCCAGGACTCGGGTACGCAGCGAAGTCGGGATGACCACTCGAGTGCCCCACAGTAGACAACCCTGCAAACTGGACAGCTCCTGCATGCGAGTCTTAAAGGGTGCGAATTTGTTATCAACATTGCCTCCCGGCCACCCCCTCCTCACCCAGTCGAGCACCTGGGCGAGCGTTTGGTCTGCCTTGGTTTTGGCGGCGATGTCAAGGGCGGTGATGGGCAGGTCCAACTGGGTGATTTCAAAAATGGCATTGACAGGAGCTGGGTCTTCAGCCGGAGCGGGTAAGGGGCAGCGACTGAGTGCGTCAGCGTGGGATAGAGTTTTGCCCGGGCGGTGGATAAGTTTGTATGAGTAGGCCGCTAGGAAAAGTGTCCACCTTGTCATCCGAGGGGAGAGGACTTGAGGTGTCTGTTTGTCGCCGGCCAGTAGGCCCAGGAGGGGCTTATGGTCGGTGACCAGTTCGAAGAAGTGGCCAAAAAGGAATTCGTGAAACTTTTTCACGGCTGCAACAGCTGCTAGGGCTTCCTTGTCTATTTGGCTGTAATTTCGCTCCGTGGCCGAGAGCGTCCTGGAGAAAAAGGCGATGGGGGCCTCGGCGCCATTGGCGAGTCGGTGACTAAGGACCGCCCCAATTCCAAAAGGGGATGCGTCTGCTGCCAGTACTAAAGGAAGGTTGGGGTCGAATTTGATGAGCACTGCCTCTGACGTAAGTAGTGATTTGACGGCGTTAAACGCCTGGTCTTCTTTGTGCCCCCAGTGCCACGGTGACTTTTTGTCTAGTAATCTGTGTAGGGGTTCGGCTACTGAGGCTTTATGGGGCAAAAAGGATGCATAAAAGTTTAGGAGTCCCAAGAAAGCTTGTAGCTCCGTTTTGGAGGTCGGTGTGGGAGCTTCGTGGATCGCCCTGACCTTGGACTCCAGGGGGTGAATGCCAGAGGCGTCAATTTTATAACCCAGAAAGTCCACCTGTCTAGTGGCAATGGCGCATTTTTCTTTTTTTAACTTGAGGCCATGCTGTCTGAACCTCTCTAACACTGCTCGCACTCTCTGGAAGAGTTGGGGTCTGTCCCTAGCCGAGACCAAGATGTCGTCGAAGTAGGGTACTACACCAGGGAGGCCCTGTAAAATCCGCTCCATGAGGGATTGAAAAATACCCGGGGCAACACTCACGCCAAATTGGAGATGCTTGCATCGGAAGGCACCCCTGTGAGTGACGATGGTCTGAAGTTCCGCTGTTTGGTTATCAACAGGGAACTGTTGATATGCTTGAGACATGTCCAATTTAGCAAAAATACTGCCCGGTTCGAATGTGTGCAATAAGTGCTGAATGACGGGCACGGGGTAGGCGCTAACTTGTAAATATTTATTGATTGTTGTCTTGTAGTCCGAGCAAATTCTCAGGCTACCATCTTTTTTGAGGGGTGTGACAATGGGCGTCTCCCACTTGGCGAAATCTGTTGGCTCAATGACCCCTTGTTTTAGTAGTTTATCCAATTCAGCGTCTAGTTTTGGTCGAATAGCAAATGGAACTCTACGTGGTTTTAATCTGATTGGGACTGCCTGGGGGTCAACGGTGAACGAGATGGGGGTTCCATTATAACACCCCAGCTCCTCGCTGAACACATCTGCGTAGTCAGCGAATAAGGAGTCAGTGTCTGAGGTTGAGACAGCATGGACTCCTGTTAACCCTAGGCCGAGGTGGGGAAACCAATCGAGCCCCAATAAGGTGGGTAGATTGCCGTTAACTACCACTAGAGGTAGGTGGCCTTTAAAAGCTCTAAAACTGACAAAGAACTTGCCTCTGCCGATCACGGGAATGGCCTTCCCCTGGTAGTCCTTCAGACCGAACTGGCATCTCTGAAGCCGGGTAGTAGATAGGCTGGGGTGGAGTCTCTTGAGGGTGTTCCACGAGATTATTGAGAGCGCTGACCCTGTGTCCACCTCCATGAGGCACGGTTTACCTTCTAGGGAAACGGAGAGAGAAATTTTACTAACAGAGTGGCAAGTACGCCTGGCAAGGCGGTGCGTGCGACAGTTTAATACTTGCCTCTGTGGTCCCGAGTGCGAGGACGGGGGTCTTTGTGCAGCGCTTTGGGGGGCTTGGCAGACTCTCGCAATGTGCCCCCTCTTATGGCAGTTGTTGCAAACGGCTCCTTTAAACTTGCAGGTGGCCCTTTGATGTGATCCCCCACAGGCTAGGCACAGGGTGATGTGCTTGGGTGGACCGGTGTATTCTTGTTTGGCCCCTACCTGCGACCGTCTGTCATTGGTGAGGCGATGGACATCGTTCTCATCGTTGTGGCCTTCCTCCGCTTCCACCTCTTCGGGATGGACTGGGAACGCTGCTAGCTTGGCGCTTGGGCCCTGAATTTCGGTGGCTGAGTTTGTTGCTAGCTCGGCTGCTAGGGCCTCCTCTACCGCTTGCGCGAGGTTGAGGTCTTTCTTAGCCAGCAGACGCCTCTGTAGGTTGAGATCCTTGACCCCACAAACCAATTGATCGAGGAGCATGTCCTCCAGGTATGTTCCAAACCCGCAGTGCAGGGCTGCTGTTCTGAGGGCGGCCATATATTGGTTGATGGTCTCCTTACTTGATTGCTTCCTCATTCGGAACGTGAACCTCCTGGCGATTTGTGAAGGCCTGGGAGCGTAGTGGTTTGTGAGGATCTCAAGCAACTCGGACCACGGAACGTTTTTTAATTCTCTCGGCGCCACGAGTGCTGCAGCGGTATCGTAAACGGTGGCTCCGCAGTAGATTAGGAAATAGGATTTTTTCCGATGCTCTCCCGCATCCGACAGGCCGACCGCATCGATGTAATGATTGAAACGGTTCTTATACGATTCCCACTTCTCTTCGTCTGGTTTAAACGCTGGGAATACTGGATTGGAACTCATGGTGCTGGAACGGCTGGGCTACCTGCGGAAAAATCTCTCTGGGACTACGAACGCTCGTGAGTTACTAGTGATATCAGCTCTGGAGAGGTTTCTTGCTACCCTCTCTTTCTCTCTCTCTGGGTTACCACGTTGGCTGCTAGCCGTTGGAGGTGTCTTGATTCGCGCCAAAAAAAGTGGGCGTTAGTGACTCTCTACAGCGCTGTGCTGTGATTCCTACTGGCTCGAAATTCAAATGACACCCGTTTGAATTTCGCGCCAAATGCAGAGCGGCTGCGGCTCGCAGCGCTTCACTTTCCCCGTAGCGAGGCTAACAAGCGGCTACAGACGCTTCTAACTATTTGACTCAGACCGCTTTCTCTGGCTGCGGATCTGCGTTTGCTCTTTTTGATCGCTCGTTTCGCTAGCTGACCGCTCTCTCTGGCTGCGGATCAGCGTTTCCCTTGTCGCCAGCCGATCGCTCTCTCTGGGCTGTAGATCGGTGGCTAGTGACTCAGCGGTTGCAAGGTGCTTCTGGTAGCCATCCCATCCTCGTCGCCAGTGTTAAGTTTGAGCAATGAGAGGCTGAACCAGAGCATGAGTGCAACAATACTTTATTTTACAAATAAAGGGCTGACCGTGCTTGCCAAGCCTGGAACTGGCTCGCAGCAATCAGCAGCCAGTTGGACCCCGCAGCCTGCTTTTATAGCTGGCTGCTGGGGAGAACCGACCAATGGGAATGGGGGAATAACGCCCACACAAAGTGAGTGGACCTGAGTGAGAACTCCTTGAGTCCTCAGGACATAACAGAGAATATAGTTTTACAATGTACATTCTGTCTGACATTCATACTAAAACAACACATATATAAAATAAATAACATAAATAGAATATGTTACCTAGCTAAAAGCTATAGAACAAAACAGTTTGATGTACTAAGTAAAGATACCAGGCTAGAAACCAGAAACCGTGAATTCTAGTGGTGTCTTAGGCACAAAGCCAGCTGGATGATCCTGGGCCACTCACGCTCTTTCAGTCCTAGGAAAACACAACACAAACCACTTCTGAACCCTGCCAAGAAAACTGCAGAAAAAACTCTAAGCAATTGCCAAGAGTGAATGCTGACTCAAAGGCAGACATGTTTTTTTAAAAAAGAAGAAATATATATACATATATAAATATGATATATTCAAGTGGAAGCAAAGTTATTCCAAATAGGTATTCATTTCATTCAGATAGTTGACATTGAGTTGAACTAGTTCTTTTTCTGCTCTGGGGTCAAATTGGATATTTACAGCCCTGGGGTGAGAGTCATGACAAATTCAACAGAGTAAAATTCCTAAAGGAAGAAGACTGGATCAAGTCCTGACAAGCATGTCCTCAAACCCAAGGGATCTTTGTCAACCTGCCACCATCAGTCTTCAGAATGGTTGGCAGGGAAAAAAACATGAAAACTCAGGTAATTTCTAGGTGTCTTCTGCCTCATTATCACTAACTCTCATTCTAAAGAATAGTGCAACAGTGGGTTTTTTGGAGCTGTTTTAATTAGCTTGTCCAGCCCAGCAAGTGATTTTTTTAAAAATAAAAAAGACCAGTGAATTAATCATTAATCTCCCCCCAGTTTCCAATTATCAGCTTCATAATTCAGGGCCTATCATGAAAGGACCTCTCTATTACTTATCAACACATCATCCATTTTTTATATAAAAATTATCAGGTTCTCTAGCTGAAATTCAGCGCAGGCATCTTTCACAAAAGGGACTATTATTGCAAATGTCCTTATTCTCCCTCTCAAAACAAATTCAGCCATTGTTTTTCTTTTTAAAAAGATTTTAAAGAAGCATCAAAAATCCTGCACTGATTTCCATGAAATCTAAAAATGTCTGCCCATTTTACTACATATTTCTCATACTTGACTGTATGAGAACTAAGCTCTTTTCTTCCAAATGTCAGTTTGGATCAAAACTTTGATTCAAATTAGATTATGTCTGAAGTGACAGATTAGAACAAGCCAGTTTCAATGGCCAGAACATAGACTGAAACAGGGTTAGATAAATTTTGTGATATTAATCCTCCATCACCATTCATCCTTATGGAAGGGATATATGGATTCTAACTTTTACATCACTGTCTGATAATGGCAGCATCAATCCTTGATTAATTTTTAAAACAAAGGAAATTCAAAGCCAGATATTAGACCCAAGGGATATATTGCTCTATGAAAAGACTGCCCAAGAATCTCCAAGCAATACTTCATATAGATAATATATCTCTATAAAATCCAAAGTAGGCACACATAGTAAATCTATTGTTAAGGAAGCTTAAGTCAGATGGAGAAGGAAAATCTGGGTCCCTCTAGTGCAGGGGTGTCAAACTCAAGGCCCATGGGCTGGATCCAGCCCATGGGGTGTTTAAATCTGGCTCGTGGGTCCAGCCTGGAAATAACAAAGGAGTGGCCCATGGTGCCTCTGCCAGCCAAAACAGGGCATGGGGGTTGCGCATTTTTACCTAGGTGGGCTCCTGCATCATTCTGCCAGACAAAACAGGTGCAGGGGGATTCATGTGGCCCCCCCGTGCCCTTTTTGGCTGGCAGGGTGCTGCAAGAGGCATCCATCCCATCCCATCTCCTCTCCTCTTCTCATTGGCTGGCCCATGGAGAACTACAATACTGATCTGGTCCTGTTCTAAACCATCATCCTAACTAGCACAGGTAATAGTGACAACTGCTAAGAGTTGTAATTCAGCAATATTCAAGGCTTTCTCGTTTTGGCTTATCAGCATCATTGACTTTTTAAATGCTAGGAATGCTAAGGCATAAATAAAATGCTTTCCCCACTTCCTAACTGACTAGAAATTAAATTAAGATAAGTGTAGTCTAGTATGTTTGTTTGTATTTGTCCTTCTCTAGAGTACTAGAATATTGTGAAAGCTTAAAATGCTTTACTTACAGTACAAATTAAAGTTAAATGACATTTTTAACGCCATCTTTTCTTTTACCAAACCTAAGTTTTAAACACATTCTGATTCAGATCTTTCTTGGAGTACTATTAGCATTATCAGCATTTGGAATTATTCTTCCAAGGAACGTACTGGACAAACAGTGACATCATTGGGGTTGGATTAATAGGCACACATATGCTCTATAGTCTAGGGACCCCAGATCTTTATTCATTCAGACATTACAATCAGGGCTTCTTCTTTTTATCTTCTTCTTCTTCTTTTAAAAAGCAACCTTTTGTGGGGAAGGATAAATGAGCTCTTTGCCGTGGAGTGAAGCTTCAAACAACCAAGTCTACCCTCTTAATTCTTCAGAGAATTTTTTTTTAAGATTTAGCACTTAGGAAAAAGAGATAATGGCCATGACAATCTGGAATTCCTTCCAAAAACTTTAAAATAACAAGGATAAATTTGCAATAATGGTGATGATTCAATCTGCCCTATCTTGTAAGCAAAGAGAACAAATGGACTCCTTAAAAAGAAAAAGTAAAAATATTTTTTTCTTCTCTCCACCCCCAGTGTGCTAACCAGCTGGTAGGTAGGAAGAGAACAAATAGATCTTCATTTCACAATTTTTCCAAATTTTTCACAGAGCTTGACAGGCATACTAATTGAATCTGCCCAATCCATTTGGAAAACAGTCAGATGCAGAAAAAAAGGCATCTGTTTGTTCCCTTTCCATGTGTTACACAGCAGGTAAGAGAGCAAATTCAAGTCTTGTTCTTTTTTGCTAAGAACTCCACTGGTGTGCCCCTGCTAACAATGATGCACAAGAAGAAAACAAATAGCCCTAATTATAGATTTGGGGTGCAAAAGATCCCAGGTGATAGCATGTGATAGACATGCCATTCTTGGTTTTGAACTGGATAATTTCATTTCTGTCATGTTCTTCCCAAAAATGTAAAAGTATTTTCCAAATAGAAACAAAATGAGTCAAGGTTATTTCTTTAATCAAAGCTGTAATTTTACCATCTCTGCCAATTACATCAACTTCACAATCCATTCTTCCCTGTGTAGGCTTTGTAGATCCTTCCACTTTTGAAAATATAAAAGTCTTGAAGTTGTTGTCATGTATAAAAGCAAAATTCCATAAAAAATTCAATTTGTTTGTCCATTAAACCGCAAAGAAAAGCCTGTGGTTTTAATTGTCTATTCACTTTTAAAATCTTCTGGATCAAAATACATATTGATCCCAATATTTTCTAGCTTTCCCACATGTCCACCAGAGATGGAAAAAATGTACTTTACATTTCCAAAAAATATTTGAAATTATACAGTTTTGATAGTGTATCTGATGTCATACATCAGTGAAACAACATTTTATTAAAAAAATTGCTTTCGGATTATAATTAAATTGTAAATTTCAACCTTTTCTTCCACAAAGTCTCCTACTGGTCCAACTATACATTATTTTTGAAACTTTATCATACAATATTTAACTTCTTCATCCTGTTTCCATTTTTAACCAAAGTTTATATATCCTAGCAATAATATGATCATCATTTAAACAGAGCTCTACATAAATCTCAGTTTTACCCTTTTCAAATTTGTAATTCTTATCCAACTTAAACCTTTCCATTAGCTGAGCACAAGAAAATTAATGGCAAGTAAAACCTTCCAACTTTTAAGTTTTCTTCTGTTTTAAGTTAAACTCTCTTGGAGAAAAATTCAGCAACTCAGCATAAGTTAACCATTTTTGTTTAAGTAACATTTGTATGACATATTTATAAAGCAGTAAAGAGAGTATGACAATAAATTAGCAATTACCTGAAGCCTTCATATCTTCTTTTTTTGTCAATTTGATATATGCTAGCTTTGATGGATCAAGGTCTGTTCATGGGCTTGGTGTGGGGCATTAAAAAGAGTTAAGATGGTAGACACAGCTGCCATCTTTTTTATTTCTCCCTTGTGGGTGGTCTACTTCCAGGTAACATGAATACTGGATGTCTAGACATGGGTTTGTAATCCAGCCTATCTGAGGAGCAGCAGGTTGGTAAAGACTGGCTTGGGACCAGGTTATTTGAGGGACTATCTCTTGCCAGTTACATCTACCCAACCCATCAGAGCAGGGAGAGAGGGAATGCTGCAGGACCCATCCCCAAGGGACATTGGTGGGACCAGTGGTGGGATTCAAATTTTTTTACCACTGTTTCTGTGGGCATGGCTTGGTGGGCATGGCAGGGGAAGGATACTGTAAAACCTCCAGTAAGAGGTGATATTTGCCGGTTCTCTGAACTACTCAAAATTTCTGCTACCGGTTCTCCAGAACTGGTCAGAACTTGCTGAATACCACCTCTGGATGGGGCCCAGAAGAAGGGCCTGGCTCCCTCTCTCTGGAACATCATTCCCCCAGAGATTAGAATGGCTCACACTCTAACACTCTTCCAGAAGGCGCTGAAGACCTGGTTCTGCCAGCAGGCCTAGGAAACTAGAGCAGGACGGAGACCATTAAATGGCTCATGTGATCTGCTGTCGCCGGAGTGGGGGTTGGAGTATGATTTTATATTATATTATATTTTTTTGATTCTTTTATTAGGCGAGTAGGCAGCAATATAAATTCAATAAATAAAATAAATAAACAACCTATTTAAATAATTGCATCAAAAATGTATTTTCTACTGTTTTTGAAATGCTTATTTAATCTTTGAAAACATTTTATCCCATGCCTCGGTTTCACCTCTTATTCCTATGAAGCAACTACAATTTATATCTTGATTTACACAGGTTATATATGCCTTGTTAATACTGTTGTTACATCATATCATATGAATTAAGTTTTCTGCTAAAAGAATAGCTGCTACATTAACCCACACTGTTCCAAGCAGGAATAATTTTTGTAATAGAGCTGTTCTAAGTGAAAGTGAACTTGTGTGGAAGATCCCTATTACATTTCCTCAACAAGAACCACCTCTTTCAAATACCACAATAATAAATCAACAATAGCAGGTTTCTTCCCGAATTGTTGGGACAAAACAAATAAATCTCAACACTAAGAAATATTGAGATACTATTTCACAAATGTAGAAAACCTCTCTTGTTGAAAGTCAATTAAATTTTTCATGTAGGCATCAATACGCAACTACTAAAAAATAAAAATTTTGCAAAGCAAAAAAATGAAAAAGCGGCAAAGATAAACAACTGAAATATCCTAGAAAAAATCTATAGGCAATCAAAACCATAAGCACAACAATAATGACACAGGTTCAACAAAAAGGGGCCCTTTAAGCCAACAATTTTTTGGAATGTCAGGGTTATACCTTGGCTATATAACCATGCATCAAGTCACTTCACCTGAAAAGCTGGAGGCTAGCAGTGTGATCTGAATTATGATATGGTTGCTTTATTATATCTTGCTGCAAGCACCACTGATGCAGTTGATGTTGACCTGACCCGTACATTCAAACTGATCACAAAAACTATTCTTCTGCTGCACCTGCTTCCAAAACACTATACAAATCAGAAAACTGTACATTCATCCACCATCAAGAGACAGAACTGGCAGCAATATCTATTTACAAACTTTGAGTTAACAGAAGTGCTGCAGGACAGACTAGATTACAATAGAAGGCCTCCGTTAAAATAGAAAGGCAGGAAAGGGAAAAGCTGAAACAGAAAGAAACGTATTTAATGATACATTCAGACATCATTAATGCTGAAAAAGATACAATGGTTGAAAAGGGGACAATCTTTAGAGCACAATTCAAGACAGCATGCTGTATAAGCTGCTTGTATGGGGATGCTAGGCATAACCTAAAAAATAGGACAAAGCTTTATACTCGCAAAAGCATGCAGCTGCAAAATGGTAAAATACGTTCAGTTCAGGAATGTAAAAAATGTTTTATGTTCTGATTGTCCTTTTTTACTTTATTTTTTTCCCCATGAAACAGTACAGTTCTTTTTTCACCTGCCCACCTTTTTCATAATTATTGTCTGGTTTGCCTAGGACCAGGAACCTGCAACTGATTACATTAAGTCATCCAATTCTTTTTCTGTCTCCAAGATATGACTTTAC